AAAATAAAGGACGCAGTACCAGTGATTGCCTGAGTTTATGCTCCTAGCTTATCCGCGCCGTAGTGCTAACTTAGAGAACGGTTTCACAAGTCACTTCGACAGGCAATACAACAATCTATCTGAGGGTACTTAGAGTGCAGCCGTGGAAACCACACTTGTTCATGCCTCTGGAGTAGTTAGGCGTGAATATCCCAGAGGTATCCCTCTCCATACAGGCCATCGAATCCACAAAAAACATGCTTTTCATTACTTTCTGTTCGACACTAAACAGCTAGAGCCATCATTTGCATGTTTCCTCAACAACGAAATTTTAAAAACTAATTCAAGTTCACCAAAGGTTGTCGTATGTGCTCCTGGTTCAAGGCCAGTTCACCCTGTCTTAAACGGGCTGACTCGCGCCCACACGACAAACAACGGGGCAGCCACGCTTGTGTTCAGAAAGCCGCAGACTTCCATGCCCTGTTTAAACGCCTCATCCCTCGGCAATGCAACATACACAGCACTTGGATGCACATACGAATGTAGTTGACGCCACATTCTCCCTCTTAGGCTTGACTAAACACTGCCAAAAGACGCTCTGGCCAAACCAATGTGGCTTTTTGTGAACTGAGTTGAGTTGGTGCGAGAACTTAAATCCTTCCACGGAGGTACGGTTAGAGTCAGAAAGCCGGTTCGATCGTCAGAGTGGATGAACAAAAAGTAACCCCATTTGGCCAGAGGATTTAATTTATGTATATAAAGGTCGTGAATAAAAGAAGCGGAAAAAGCGGCGGCTTAGTTTTAATTGCTACTGTTAAGTGTTACACCAACCCTTGTGCTCAAATATGCGTGAACAGTGGATAACATTATGGAATAACCCGAATTCATAGATTGACTGTTCGATAATTAACGGGAAATAATTTTAAACCCTTGACTTTCTTTACGTCAAATTACCTTGAGCGCGAAAATTGACTAGTTGGTTGTGTCCAAGTGAAAAGTAACACGCCATCGTTTCTCACAGAAGAACCACGCCAGGAAAAAAAAATACGAAACTGCGAAATTTCAAATCCGAGTGGCACGAATCTACCAAAAATTCTAGACAACATTTGTAAATACACTTTTACAGGAATTAAGGACGGCATGCCTCACAACATCAGGGGAAATTAGTTCAATGTAAGGAATATTATTTACTAAATGAATATAAGTAGGCAGTATTTATACAATCAAGTAATCTGGGGCAGAAAAACAGTTCCGCCTCACGAGCAGGGTTGAATGGACGTACAGCAGCAGGCCTAGTGGCCTATGTGTGCGTTATTCCGCACCTGCTTCTCTTAAATCACTAAGTTCGTCTAGTTTAACCTTGAAGGATTTTGTTCCTTGTATGAATTTGAAATAGGCGCAAGCAGCAAGAGTTAATGATATCAAAAAATGTCGCGACGGCTCGTCTACTACTATCCGTCGCCGCATAACATGGATTGCGAACAGAGTAAAAAGCAAGTAGAATTTGTTCTGAAAATCAAGGCTTTTGTTGATATAGGGGGGATTTTGTCTTCCTACTTCAAAAGCCATTTAAGCGCGTATTCAACTGACCTGGCTGTCAGCTGCACTTGTCTCAATGTTTACGTATCCAAGTTTGCATCAGAATTCATAAACACAATTCGAGATGGAGTGAATTAGCGGGGAATTTTTTAGTTCTTTGAATTGGGATAGTCACAATAGGACTTTTGAACATGAGCTGAGCTCTATTGTGAGCCATTTTAGTACTATATCGTAGCCGTGGCATGGTTATTTTTGACACTGCCGCCCTTAGGGCACGGTTATATTATAAAAGGGTTCTTCTGAACAGACTTGTCAATCAAGTTTTGCCCTAGAGGACTGCTATACTTTCGAACGAGACGGGCTGGATAATCACGTCTACGTCCAGCGTTTCAAAAAGGCAATTTTTCTCGCTCTTTCAAAAAGAGCGTGGATGAGGCTACGTGGTCATTTTACCCGCGCAGAACTCATGAACTGTAGGTATCGACCCTTCTACGTATTCTTGCGGAAAACTGATCGCTTGAACGAAGCGTCTCATTATCCATGCATAGGGACTTCCAGGGGAATGAAAACTGACACCGGGGAATGTGAGCAATTGAAATCAAAAGGTAGAAAGTCAAGGACTGCTCGAGACCATGACCATCACTTAACAGTGCCTCAAACCCACTCAAAAATTGTTTATACGACGCATGGAGGGACAGGCCCCAGCCTTGATTCCGGAAACCTTGCAGGAGGTCGTATCGCCAACAGCTCTCATTAATCCGGGTGTCAACACGGCAGAACCGAAACTGCCGTCTCCTGTCTGCAATCAGCAGTTACCCGGTGATATTTACCCTGTAAAATATCGTTCCACAGGCGTAACTCCAATGCAAACTGTTGCCACAGCAACAGGGCACAAACATACCCAGAGAAGGAGCAATATAAAGTCACTTTCACGCAGTCCTGTGGACTGTGTGATGATAGTTAAGGCGTGTCCAGTTCCATTAAATTTCCCAGCACACGGCCAAATCGCCTGCTTTCCAGTTGCACAGTGTTATTTCAGGCCCCAGGACTCCGCCCACAGCTTTTAGCGTGGCACCGTATTTTAGGAAGTTTTTGATAAAAAAAATTGGCCATTAAGGTCGCTGTTGCCAAGGGCGCTTTAACAATGAGAGTCTACTCCGCCCATTCGACCTGGGACTGGGCAGCTAAGTCAATTTTGCAGACTGAATGCACGCAGAGTGGGAGTAATTACAAGGTCAACAATAAGAGGAGATAAAGACGCCCAAAACCATTTTAGTTACCTTTTGGGCACTGTGGAGGTCGTTGATTCCGATGACGCAACACAGTCATGGCAACAAGAGCCGTAATGAGTTGCACCAGTGTCCCCCTAAATAATATGGTTTTCAGCATTGTTTGGTTGGTCGACCGATATTTTGGGAATTTAAAGTTATGATGCGACATTACTGCTGGACATGATCCCTGGCACGAGGCAGAAATGTACTCCCGCTTCTACTTATGACCATAAATACATCAGCAAATAATTGATAATTAGACAATCTAAAAAGTCCATCTTCTACGCAATAAACCGCCCCCTTGAGCACACTGCCTTCTTCGCCGACTGGCGACAGTATTTCTGAAAACGGCTGGTGGTAGTGCAGGCGTAAGGATAGTTAGGTACCCGAAGTTACGCACAAGCCCAAGCCTTGGCACAGGAAACTCTGGGGGACCCGCTGATGAGCGGAACCCCTCGCAGCAGCGAAATATCAGTGGAACACGTGTCTGGCCTTCTGATTAATACCTGTGCTGCCAAGTAAGGTAGGTCATGCCACCAATGCATATACTTCTAGCTACCTGTTGGTATTTTACGGATATCCTGCAGTTATTTCGCTACGGCTGATAGATCTAGGCCCAAATACAGTAGATGTGCTAACTCATGAAATGTCAACCAAAATGTCGAAATGCGTTCTCGTTTCGAAAAGATAAATTAAGTAGTGTTGTAAAACTAGTCATGATGCAGCATAAATCTATAATGATCCAGTTACCTCAGGGTGTCGGCTTTTGAACGAACTTATTTTCGGCTGCATGCAAGATCTATACTCTGCAAAAAATGACTACCTAAGGAGCATGCGATTTTCTCATTGATTTTCGATGCCCTTCAAAATTCAATTATATTTCATGGAAAACATGCATAAAACTATTCATTCTTTTACTTATTCGGTAGAAAATCACGTCTTCTTCCAATTTCATACTCAAAAGAAGAGTATAATTCGGTTTTGAAAAAGTTTCTAATTGTGACACTTTTTAATACCGTTAAATGGCCGTTCATGAAACGTCATGTATCTGCATTGTAAAGTTAACAATATTGCTCAAATCCACTGCTTAATTTTATGAACCTCATATGGTCTCCTCTTAACATCGTAGAGAAATGCATGGTTTTCCGCACACGGAAAATGTACAGCTTGTAGTTTTGAAACCCTGAATGCAAGTGTAACAGCAGGTCGGGTTCAGAATTATTCGGGAATTAGAAAAGTGTTTTAAAACCGAATTATACTCTTCTTTTGAGTATGAAATTGGAAGAAGACGTGATTTTCTACCGAATAAGTAAAAGAATGAATATTGTTATGCATGTTTTCCATGAAATATAATTGAATTTTCAAGGGCATCGAAAATCAATGAGAAAATTGCATGCGACTTAAGTAGCCATTATTTGCAGAGTATAGATCCTGCATGCAGCCGGAAATAAGTTCCATCGAAAGCCGACACCCTGAGGTAATTGGATCATTATAGATTTATGCTGCATCATGATTAGTTTTACAACACTACTTAATTTATCTTTTCGAAACGAGAACGCATTTCGAAATTTTGGTTGACATTTAATGAGTTAGCACATCTACTGTATTTATATCAAACTTCAATCTGAGCCGGTGAGTCTCAAATAGACGGATCAACCCCATGTAAGAGATCAATTTCTGAAGAAATTTAAGAGCCCCAAACTCGACTTTCGTTCGGGCCCTCATGTTGATGTAAACAGGACAGGACAAAACAGACTCGCTCGTATCCGCCTGTTGGTATAGATCGGTTGATATAATCTGTCTTGGATTAAACCGGCGGCGCGCCTGTGCGAGGTCTGCTTCATCCAGCATATAGTTCTGAATATACAAGCGGTTGCTCGCCTTATTTACGACAGTTCAACCGTCGGTGCCGACGATATCTACCGTGTGCTCCACCGCAAGATGAGAGCCGGGACGGTGACCTGCGCATGAGTCAGTTTATTTCCTGAGTTCAAAGGAGACTGACAGTGCCCAAGGGGCGCTATAATAAACCTATTCTATTCTATAGTTATAGTAGGCTTGCGCAGCATCTGCCGCGCCCTCTCTTCCCCATTTTCCACCTGGACCCAGTGTCAAGACAGTGTTAAGACCAGAGGAGGGGGAGGGCGCAGGTGGCCGGCACGGCCGGAGCTGCACTGGGCGTGCCACCACACCCCCTGGTCCACCCAGCAAATGACCAGGATTCTTTGCCAACAACAGCAACAACACCCCAACAGGGACCAGAGCGCCGAGTACGACTGGGCAGCCATGCTCATCACCTGTGTACGTAACAGGAGCGCACGCGCATCTACCGGCAAGACACCAGGTGTCAGTGAGCTGCCAGCGCATACCAGGCTGCGAGGGTCAGGGTTTGCTGGTACTGGCATAGCACATGCTTACAGACCTTTTGACTGCTTTGCGCGACTAACCTGCTTGTTTCCCTAGCTTTGAGCATAGTGCCGTAAATCTTGGCCTCGGAACGATGAGAGCACTTATACTCAGCGTTTTTCATCGCACCGACTTTCTTCTTATTTAGCAGCAGCAGCAGCAGCAGCAGCAGCAGCAGCAGCAGCAGCAGCAGCAGCAGCAGCAGCAGCAGCAGCAGCAGCAGCAGCAGCAGCAGCAGCAGCAGCAGCAGCAGCAGCAGCAGCAGCAGCAGCAGCAGCAGCAGCAGCAGCAGCAGCAGCAGCAGCAGCCTCTTCCCAGGGCACTATAGCGTTCTCGTTTCATATTCCCCGATTCGTCCGATATAGCATTAGTGGAATAACGCCTGGGCGGTAAGGACGACTATATTCGGCTCAGACTCTGACTTGGCAATTCTTCTGCCTTGAGAATGCTGTCTGCACTGTCCTTATCTCACGGATCATGCGCTAGCATTCGTGTAGACGCACCACGGGCTTGCTTCCTGTCGGTTTTTATCAGGAATATCCAATCATACGAGTGCTAGTGGCGGCTAGTAAGCCAGAAAATGCTATTCAAGTCTCCTTTAACTAAGGTGTCGCGGGTAAATTATGTCACTGAATGGGTCAGTTTATCCATAAGTGATACATCCCTGACCAGGAGGGGCGCATCCCGCGGGATCGATGGCTGTCAGCTTCAGGGAGTAAAGTTTCAAACAACGCCTCAGGAAAATGCTGCCGAATGCATGTGACACGGACGAAGTCGTCTCCCAACCGATTTAACTTGCGGTACGCATTCGTTGCGACAACACCGCGAGGACATTTCGACCCTCCAAGAAAGACAACTAAGGTGGTTTGGGCCCGATCCTCGTCGTCGTCCTTCCCTTGATCTTAGTGTGGCTGTCCTCGATCTGGCGGCGAAGAGATCAAATCAAAGTTTAGCTCGGCACAACTCGCCAAGACATGGAAGTGGTTCTTAGACCTTCGTTATTCGGCTTCCGTCGCCAGAAGAGTGAGTCCCCTCTAGATCCGCCAACATTACTGGTCGTCACGCATCGTGGAGGCCGGCTGGATACAGCACGAATACAACTGCACCAAATATGCGATAAAATGCTTCTCAAGATTAAGCTAGCTTTCCTGTCCCGTGTGCCGAGACTTGCACGCATGCAGCATCTAGGCTGGCAAAGTTGTCTTTTTGGCCAGTCGGCAGCATGACCTTCACACGGCTCTGAGCCGGTTTGGTCCCACACCTCTTCCAGCGCCTACTACCAGTGTGTCCTACCATGGATAAAGGCCGTCCAATCGGCTCTGTTCATCCGACTTTTAGTCCAGTGAGGCGCTGGAACAGTGTGCGACAACTGATTTTACACTTCTACGAACTCTGCCATGAACTCCACCGGTTAGGCTAAGGACAGAAACCTAACAGGAGCATGTCACGCCTGCTTGCATAAGACCATGATGTTGGAGGACTTGAAGAGTCCGTACCTCACCTAAATGCGAAATCCCGCTTGCCTACCAAGCAGTGTTTAATAGACACTCCTACGACAATTGGAAATGGTAAGCGTACTCCATCGAGGGTCGTCAGTAGTCAGGTCTCCAAAAAAAATTCAATCGCCTTTGTGTAGGATTTAACTTTCTTGACATGGGAGGCAAGATAGACAGCACAGCACAATTAAGACATAGTCGCCGTAAGTGGTTATAAAATGATTACGTAAAAATTAAAATGATCAAAAGCATATGAAGGCAGACGGAAGTGATGCTTTATGTCCTCATGAGTGTTCGAACGTGTATGATCAAAGTGACGCTATTTACAAAATACGAGTGCTGGGCAACCACAGGTAGTGGTAGAACAGACGAGGTGTGTGGTCGTGGAGGCAGGGTCAGGCGAATCTTACAGATGACATCCAGCAACGAGGGCAAAGAGGACGTTGGTGGCCAGTAAGTACACACCCATGAATGTTTAGCTGAACGCAGGAGACAGAACACACTTTATGCGTAGAGAGAGGACATTTGCTGGCTGATATCTGCCAGTGAGACCTCACCAAACTGGTCCGGACGTTGGAGCATTAGGGCGCTGATCTCGGCCAGTTGCCGCTCACGGGCTTTCAGTTCGTCCTGGCGCTCAGCCTCCGACAAAGCGGCCAGTTCCTCCTCGTGTCGCATCTTTTTCACCCTGGAGGGTAGATGAGAGAGAAATTCGGGGTCCACATTGCCCCCCTTCGCCTCCACATAGCGTTTGAGTTCTTTTTGCAAGAGTGTGAAGGAAAAGGAAGGGATATTAAAATTTCCCCTCCAATGTGGGGAAAAGAGACGTCTGGTGGTTATTGACGGCAAAAGTGGCCAAACAGAAAACAACATATGCTGAAGTACCAAGTTGGCAGAGACTTTGGCCCCTTTACACGAAACAGTCTAACTTCTAAACCACCCTGCTTGGCAGATTAACACTTTTAAACGTCGAGACCTTGAAAAGTTTGGAAAGAAGTTGACGCGAACAGCCATCTGCCCAGGCACTCCAACGATGCAAGGTCCCTAGCTCTAGCCCACGCGGATCAGTGTATGTATGTACACGCTGCCGCATGATCGTCCATGACGGCTCTGATAGTCTTCATTGACTGACGGAAGGGCGCTCGTCAATGTAGACCACACGACATGGCAGGGGCCTTGTTAGCACTTATTGCCTGATAATTATGCACTCCCATCCAACAAACCTCGACACCTCAACCCTATCTTGGAAATTTGTCATTGGCGTGAGTGATACCAGGCTACCAGATGACACCAATGTGCTACTAACATGTCGCTGGACATGACGGCCGAGAATCAGACTGAGCCGATTTTTTTTCACGAGAGTACACTATGGCCGGCCGCAATACCCAGGGGCAGTGGTTGTATTGAATTTCTAACAAGTAAATAAGACGAGCGACAAGACTTACCTATATCATATCGAACAGGTCGAACTTTCATTTGTGGTAGGGGCTTCTTTTTAGCGGGCTTTGCTTCCACCGACCAGAATTTCGGGAAGAAAAAGCATGCATTAGAAGAATCCGAAAAGTGTGTATTCGAAGATTTTCCGGACCTTCTACGAATCCAAAGCAAAAAGAGGAGTCCTAGAGTTCCAACCACAGCAGAAAGTCCCCATGTATAGACAAATGACACCGATAGTGCCGGAGAGGTAATCATGTTGCTGCTGTGTGGGAGGGAATAAGAAAGAATTTGTCATCGACGTGTTGTCGTGAAAGATATTGGATAGTAGAGTGGTCATTTTTGGTCTAGTAGCTATCATCAGTCGGTTAAGCCCCAGGTCCAGATGAGACGCATCTGAGGTTTAAAGTCTGCCTCGGTGAGACACTGGGAATCAAGCCAGTGCTCTACTCAGTTAGGTTACCGGACTCTCTCTCTCTGATGATTTAGAATGGAATTCTTTTGGTTGATTTGGAAATGTTAGTTAAAAATGAAAACAAAATCACGGTTATAACTGAAAGTCATAGCATTGGAGACACTGACATCAACTGATGAACAGGATTCCTTGAATGTACACCAGGCTGACCCAAAAACCAGCAAAATCATATCTTACCTCTGGTGAGATCATGGTAAAGGGCTTTCAGATGGCGAATCTTAGGCCATTTGAGCAATTCTGGAAGCAGGTCCTACAGCTAACTTCTATACAGAGTCGGAAAATTTTACGTATCAAGTACGTCAGCACAGTGACACTATTTAGACATCAGAGGATGCTGTTTGGGCGAAATGAGGAGAGCCGACACGAAAGAGGTAAAGAACTGCATACACACTTACGCTTCAAGGTGGCGGGAAGTGCAAAGATCGTCGCATATTTTCGCAGGAAAGTGCAACATGAAACATCGAAGAGCTAGTGGGATTACGGCTATTAATTAGTGGTCAGGCTACATTTACTAGTCTGGACACGGTCGTCAAAAGTCTGACACGCCAACGAGCAGCTGATAAATGGAACGGCCTTCGGGCGGGGACTAGTCGTCAAATAAGCAGTGCTGTGAAAGCACAGATGACTAAGACGCGAGACTCGGCTGCATACGAGTCCTCTTCTGCCAACAAGCGTTGCCATAAATGTTGACTCATAATTTCAGTATTGCGAGTCCTTCCAATACAATCTGTAATAGGATGTTGTTTCGCGTCCACATGGAAAAGCTTCCATACATTCCGCGGAAGGCTCAGTTCATTTTACAAGAAAAACACGAACTCGGTTCCCACGTACCGCCAGATCGTCCTTCATTGGCAGATCGGACATGCTGCCTAACGCGTCTCCTTATAATCTTCATTGCGGTCGTGTGGTCCTTTTAGTCCAAGAGTGCTTATGGCGTACGGCATACAAATAACGTAAACCTGTCATTTTCAAAGACAATAAAACATTTTGTGTGCAAGCTGGTGTGAGGCTGGTGTAGCTGCAATCAGGCCTGATTTGGCCGGTCAAAATGGAGCCGTGAATTGTAACTTCTCAAACACGATGGTCTGCAGCAGCGGATCTATAAAGCTCGGCATAATTATCTCTGACAATGAATACCGAAGGTTAGAGGTCCAAGGTCTACCTCCGTGTCTTGACAACCTGCACGGCCCAATTTTGAACTGAAGTTCTCTTTGTTGGCTTCAGTTAGATGTTGAATCGGATAAAGGATGGCATTAATGAACTTATGGGCGGGTAGCGAGGAGTGTGCGCGGATTACTTAAATTGTCTTTCTCTAGTATCCTCTCGATGCTGTCGAAGCGGGTGTACTGTCCTATTCTATACGAACGCGATGTACCTTTTCTAACGATCGTTCTCAGCTCATGGTGGTTAAACACACCCACTTTGCGGTTCCCTTCCAACCCAGCATCCCAAAATACATAAGCACACGAAGAACTAACTAGGCGGACGCTGCCCTGAACGCGCATATTTAGGGTGGTAGGGACAGCAATGACGATCCCATAGGCACGTCTTAATGCGTGCGGGATCCTGTAAGCAACACCAGTTCGAGAGACATTGTTTGCTTCATCGACCCAACAAAAACACGGTCAGAGGGTCGGCTGTGCTAGGCTGCCGCAACTTTAAATCAGGACGACTTCCAGAAGGCCTTTTACTCGTGGCGGGAGGCGTGGCCAGTTTCAGCGTTACATATTAATCCGTTACTATGCACCCAGTAATAAAACATTGGGGAGATAAGAGTATACACAATATTCCTGGTCAAAAAAACACCGTTCCAGGTAGGCGAATGTAAATTTCGCGGAGGCTGGGAATCAACGTCATATTACGCGATTTCCTATACTGTGGAGTCTCGATTTCGCAGTTTTTGTCATCTGACAAGAACATTGC